GATTGCTCTGGAAGGAGTTTAGCCCGTCTAGAGGAGGAGAGCGGTGTTTGCACACAAGAACCACTGCCATCACAATCAGAGAACACGCACGAACGCATTGCTGCTGCTCAGAGTTTGCCTATGAGAAAGAGAAGTGCCGCAAAGACGCCCACACAGCCACCTCAAAGATGTGTCGGCCAATCCTCCTGGCCCTGAATTTCTGCAAGCTCTTCGGTACCACCGAGCATAATCTCTAGGCCCATGGAGCCTTTGTAGCTCTCACCTTTAGCTTTTTCGGTTCTACCCTATCGTCTTAACAACACCACAAACCCTTCATTTAGGAAGAAAACAAGCTTGGTAGACTTTAATAATGGCTGACAGCAATACATTCGAATTCCCCTCCCAGTAAGAAGAATATATGGGACTGTAGGATGACACCACAGTTAAAATACAGGGTAACCCCAAGTACTCTATATAAGCACATACCATCTAAGCTAATTGGTCCAGAAGACCCTCTGCTCCAGTCCCTCAATTAGCACCCGTGCAGTGGAACACCCCTCCTCCAGCCCTTCTGCCTTATGGAAAACACAGAGACCCACATCACGACACTGCAGGTTAGAGGCTGCCAGCCTGCAGCAGCACCAGGACAGGGTCCACGGTGGCCAAACACACCCCATTTAGAAAGTCTGACTCAGCAGACAGCCTAGAGTCGTCACCACCTGCTGTGTGTGCCTGCATGGAAAGGACAGAGAGCTCCCAGATGGCAGAAGGCCTGTGCCCGAGCCCTGCCTCTGTCTACCTCAGAGCTCACACCAACCCCTGGTCTTTCCCAGCAAGTTTCCTGGTAGTGATTGCCTGACCCTCAGTGCTCTCGTCAGGAGTGCATCTAGATAGGAACTGAAATATTTGAGCCAATGTCTGCTTGTCTGATGCCCTGTGGGGTGCACAAAGGCTTGGAAAACTGTCTTCTGTGGTTTGTCCACCCTGCAGTGAACAGTTGGAAACTCCACCATGCAACAGCTACGGGCCTGGGCCTGGTGAACTCACGAATGTTGGGAGATCCCTCCCTTGGGGACTCCAATGAGCTGCTTATGCAGCCTGCTGGTCTACACTGCCTACAGCAGTCTCTGACTCTGGTGGCACATGGTGTAATTTCTGTGCCTCCCAACTCACAGGCAGGCACCCCAGGGCATGCAGTACTGACTCGATGGGACGTATGCATGGCTGAATTCTTTCTCCTATCTGTCATGGAGTGGCCTGTGTCCGCAGTTTTCATGACTTGGTGTGTGTGATCGCTGTATACAGGCTCTTGCCATCATTGCTAGCAACAGGGAAAGCTTGGGCCTGGGCACGCTGCCAGCTTCGTCAAACTTTCCATGAGGAAAGCTTTTTGTTCTCTTCCAGAGCAGCTTAAGCTCAGGAAAGAAGGGGAGGGCAAAGAAACGCAGCCAGCCGACAGACACGGCTGGGCCGTCTGGTCTACCTGCTTGTTGTTTTAATGACATCTAGACTTCTGGACACCCAGCAGCCACTGACGGGACTGAAAGGCTTGATTGTGGTAGAGGCTGTAGGGCGGTCACCATAAGTGTGTGTGTGTGGTAGTGGTGGTGGGGGGGAGCACAGCAACAGACTGAGAGGCTAAGGCCTCTAGGCTGCTTCAGCCACAGGACTGGAAGCCGGCTGACTGCGTGACACCAAAGCAGTTCTGTGGCAGGGTCCCATCTGCACAGATGTGGGAGCGAACCCTATATGCCACATGGCATTTTAGGAGTTTCCAGATGAACTTGAAGTGGGAGCTTTGTGTGCAAGGGAGAGGCTCACACATGCGACGGAGGGGGCTCATTGCAACAGGAACATTGACACACAGTCCAGTCCCACGACAGGCAGTTTAAGCAAACATTACAGAAGCAGTTAAATGTGCAGGTTTGGTGGGACCTTTTAAAGGTCTGTATTTAAAATCACGTGAGAGCCGCAGTGCCAACACCTCCAAAATCTAACCATGAAAAGTTTAAATTAAAAGCCCAAGTCTTATGCAGATTGTCGGGACAAAGGAATTACCACTGAGGTTTATGAACGGGTCAAACACATTTCAGCAAGGCTTCAGAGTAGAAATAAGAAAGACTGCTGTGAAAGGTGGGATTGCTTTTCTGTCTATAATTTAAATTACTCTTTGAGATAAGGAGACATCTGGGAAGTGTGCTTCCCTGAAAATTCTGATGTGTGGCTCTGCAGACCCAATGTGGGACACATCACATACTGTTCGTACAGGCACTAACTACCTCATGCATGTGCTCATGATGCCAGGTTTGAGAGTTTGTGTGTATGGAGTGCTAGGGGCTCTCAAAGACTGGAGATTGTGTTTTAGTACTGCCTTTTCTCTCTCAGTTCTCAGAAAACAAAATCAAAATGACAAAAAAAAATCATGTGAGAGCCAGTACGCAAACAAGACCCACTCTCCCTTACCTCCTCTCCCTCAGGCAGGGGGAGCACAGCATGTCCCATGAACCAACCCCTGAAGCCCACAGGCGTAATTACAAGAGGCCCCTAAGTGCTGAAGGGCTGGCTGATAACCAGTCAACCCTCCTAGCTTTGCAGCTTGGGGACCTCCAGGCCACCAGTTTGTCCCTGTGTCCCTGTACTCGGAGACCAACCAGGGCTCTGAGGAGGGCTGAGTGCTTCCTGATAGCTGAAGAGGGAGATTCCAGAAGAAAGCAGGAGCCTGAAGCCTGTTCTACCCTGACCTTCTCACAAGTCCCAGGGGCTCAACCTAACACTGGGAGATGATTTCTAGCTCCACCCCTGCTGCAAGCCTTCTGACTTTCAAATAAAGGGTTTCTTCCCCAAAGAACCTCTCCCTGTTGGGCAAATTGGTGACTGGTTGCCTTTAAGTAAGGGGGTTTGGAGAAATGCACTTTAACTTTCTGAACTCGATTCTATGGTGGTTTCTGTCCTCTCTTTGTTCCTTCTCCAGGGAATTTAAACTAACACCCACTGGGAAAGATGCAGCATCTGGGACAGGTACCCATACCCTCTTCTTGGCTCCTCTCCTCAGCCTTCATTTCCTTTAGAGAGTTCCTGTTTTCTAAAACAGCACCCCTTCTTTGCACCCCAATATGGGAGACTCTGAAATGTTTTCTCGGGAACACAGTGAAATCCAACAAAATACATCTCGTGCCACGTGTGGGTAGCCCTAGTCCCAAGTTCTGCTGTGTTGCTTCCTGGACACAGTGTCCCCTCCTCCCTGAAGGCTCACCTGCTCTCATTGCATGCCCACAACAAAGCCCTGTCTGACGTAGGCCACGGTGGCCTCTAGGTCAGAGGGAAGCCTGGCTAAGGCTGACTTCCTGTCTCTGGGCCAGAGGGCACTGCCCAGATGTGGGAGTCCTGGGCTGGCCGGTCACACTGCCTCTGACCAGATGACAATGATCTCACAGGCCCACACCAGCACTCCCTGAGGCAAAGTAGAAGGTGGGACTCTAAACACAGATGCCAGTACCCACCCTGGCCCCAGTGTCCATCTGGACAGGTACCAGAAACACAAGTAGACTCTTCATGCTAAGGAAGCAGCACTGGGCACCCTCACTGTGATCCTAGTCCTGAGTTATGTGTAAGTAGAGCTGTGTGGAGGTCAAAAGAGAAGAGACCCAGGGAATCCAGGAACCTCCCATACATCTATGAGGGCTTATTGGGGGGCAGATGAACATGGCTACCAAATGTACCATGGAGCAAGACAGTGGGCTCTAAGTTCAAGAATTGGATATATTTTTGAGTACAAAATTTTGCATGAACCATGCCCCCCAAAGCTTTAAGTTACAAATTTGAAGGGAAATGTTCAGTAAGAAGTTGTTTTATAACCCTGAAACGTAAGACCTTGTCAACCAAGTGCCTGGGAGCCAGCACTGGTCTGTCCACAGGGAGCATGGAATATTCTCTTATCCCTAAGCCAGCTCACCCCACAGGGGAGGTATCAAGGAGAAGGTGCAGAACCTGGGTCATAGCACCTTCTTCAAATGTTCTTCTCGAAGGTCCCTGTGAAACAAAAGGGCCACCAGGCTTGCAGGCAGAAGCCCAGGGAAGAGGGGCCGAGCGGCTGCAAGGCCTCAGCCGCCTCAGAGAGGGGGAGCTGAGCAGGCCCTGGCATGGGCCTGGGCCTCGTCCGCATCCAGGTGCTGCAAGGAACTGGACCTGCTCCAGTGCGTGTGCTGCTCCGCACCTGGTCTGGGAGACAGCCTACCTCTGGGGAGACCTGGCCTCAAAGGGAGCCCCAACTCCCACAAACTATCTGAGCAAGCTGGAAAACCCCACCGAACCCACTCTCAGTGGGCGGTGCACTAGTCACGCGTCTGGCCACTGTGGCAGTCATGTGATCAGGAAGACTCTCCTCACTCCACAGGAAGAGCAAGGTGTCCAGAGAGAGAGCAATACACACACGTGCAGAACAACAGACACACCTTGTCATGTTAGTGCTCAGAGATTCTGTGCCCACCACAGCCAGCCTGGGCACGGCCGGACACACTACATTTGGGTATGTCCCTCTGCCCAGAGTGAGCTGTACTGTCCCGGATGGAGAGGCCACATCCTGACAAAGCCATAGTGGAGACAGCCACCTGGCATTGCGCCCATCCTCTGGGATCCTGGCACTGCCGTCACATATGACCATTTTTACATGGCTGCCTATAGTACCGCTGCCTTGAACCGGGTGTTGACTTAGACACTCTTAGCTTCTAGGTGCTAGAATACAAAGGCCACACTCTGTCACAGACCTCTTCTGTTGTGACTTTCTGAGACTGACCTGGGCAGTTATTTGCTTCACTTTTCACGCCAAATCTGAGGATCTCCAGTTTGAACCAACATTACTCAGGCAGGGGTCGCCAAGATCACTAGAGCAGGACTAGACATGCAGCTTGACGGCTGGAGACCACTCTAGGTGGCACAGCATGGGGACTGTCTTCCCCCCGTGTCACCCCTTCCTTCCCAAACTCAATGGCTGTGTGCACACCTGCTCGCCTGCAGGCACTTACCATCGTCCAGGTATAACTGGTCCAATTCCTCAGGCTCTTGCTTGATCACTACAGGAATAGGGGCCAAATTATGATCACTGTCCTCACGCACCTCTGGCGGCGCGGCGGCTGGAGACTCATTTCTTTGAAGCTTCTGCAGTTGTTGCTGCTGGTGGCCCACGTCAGGAGGGAGGGCTGAGGGCTGTAAGCAGGTTGGCTCGTGGGCAGCGGACAAAAGTGGAGAAGAGGGGCTGTTGGGACAGAGCGCTTGTTGGCAACCAAGGGAACAGCTACTGTTCAGATGTGGACTCACCTGCGGCTGCAGCCGGGCGGGCGGGGGCTGCTCAGGCGAGTTGGGCTGCATGGCCATGGATCTCGGCACTTCCTGCATGGTGGGGACCTCCGAAGCTGGTGGCTGAAGTCCAAGGTGACCACTGTGGCCTGGGCTGGTGAGGCCCTTGGTGTAGGCAGTAGAGGAGAGGTCGTGGAGCTTCGGGCTTGCATTGGGAGGCGTGGTCATCAGGGTGCTCCTCTGTGAGCAGGGGGCAAAGCCAGGCCCGAGGCAGGAGCCAGGGTTGGGAGGCATGGTGAGCTGTTGGCTATAGTAAGGCCTCGGCAGAGGACTAAGTCCCTGGCTGATTGGTCCACAAGTCAGAGCTGGCTCAAAGTCGTCCGTGGGTTCTGTCTTTATAATTGGAACTGTGAGGAGGAAAGAACAAGTTAAATAAACAGAAGTTGTGGATGGGTAGGCTAGGCTGTGGCTAGGATACCCCGTGCAAAACAAACAGCGTCCTGACTGAGCCCCTCTGTCTCTGCCGGTTCTCCCACCCAATTAAAAACAGGGTGAGTCACTGGCTGAGAAAGTCACAGCTGGTTCTAATACGAAGAGGACTATTTTCCTTGGAATATCCCCCAGCACTAGCGTGCTATAAAAATCTATTTGCAAATGGCAGTAGGAGCTTTGGGCCTGAGGGCCTGTGGATTTGTAGCAATCAAAGTGAAAACTTCAGCTTGGAGGTATTGCTGTGATGCTGCTACTGACGACTCTAGTAAGTTCTGCTAGTGTGGAAACTGGGCATGCGCTGAGCTGGCTGCAGTGAGAACCCAGAGGTGGACGGCCATCTGAGAGAGTCGAGGAGCCAGGAGACACCGAAAGAGGACATGTCCCTGTGGACAAGTGCACCAAGTCTCCATGCATCGCTCCTGCTTCCCACACCCAGGTGAGGACTCTGCAGCCAGCCAGCCCCAGGAGACCAGGCAGCTGCAGAAGACCAGGCAGCCCCAGGAGACCCCACAGCCCCAGGAGACCCCACAGCCCCAGGAGACCTCACAGCCCCTGGAGACCCCTGCAGCCCCAGGAGACCAGGCAGCTGCAGGAGACCAGGCAGCCCCAGGAGACTCCCGCAGCCCCAGGAGACCAGGCAGCCCCAGGAGACCTCACAGCCCCTGGAGACCTCCGCAGCCCCAGGATACCTGCCAGCCCCAGGAGACCAGGCAGCCCCGGGAGACTCCTACAGACCCAGGAGACCCCGCAGTTCCAATCAGGGTCTCCTACTTCTCCCTCTCTACATTTAGTAAGAAGGCCCCAGTTTAGGAAAGGGCCACAGAGATAGTATAGCCTCTGTGGCCTGGAACTAGCCCCAGACTATGGCCAGAGCAGACTCCAGGCTTCTGCTCGGGGCCTCAGTTGCTACAGGCAAGTTAGGAAGAGAATATCATAGGCAGAGAAAGAGGTGCCCAGTAGACCCTGGGGCCCTACTCTCCCGGCTGCTTCCCAGATGCTGCTCTCTTGCTAGTCCACCTCTCTCAACAGACACCCATGGGGGTGGCTGAGGTACTTTTCTGGTGACCCCAGCAGCAATACATAAGCCATGTGCATGTGACCCTCAGAGGCACTGTGCTGCATAAGCCTCGTGCATGATGAACAGCGATGGAACTCTCTATTATGTCACACCTCTTGACACGCTACTCATAGTTGGTTTTGGCAGCAGGTCAGCCACGTGAGGGACTGCCCAACCACTGTGGCCTCTTCAAGGGGCGCACACACTCCACATACAAACACACATGCCACAAAGGGAGGCCCGGCTTCTCCGTGAGTAAATAAAAGCATATCTACATTTTGAGGAAAAAGCTTTAGCCATGGTCTGAGCCAGCAGGAATGTACATCTGTTCTCCATTAGAGCCAGGCCTCTGAGCCACCAGCTGTTGCGAGCCACGAATGTGGAACTCTTCTGAAGCCTGGCTCCCCTGGGAGCTTCCTGGGAAGGGCTGTCTCCCCGCGCAGCCCAGCCTCCAGTGCTCCAGTGTAGGTCTGGAGGTTCTGCCCTAGACTTGGGCTGAGGTAAGTTGTGCCTGTTGGTCTAGGTGCCTTCTCGTCACCTCTCAGTGGTAGGTCTGCAGGGCATGCAGCACCACTGGCTCAGCCTCTAGGTCCCTGGAAGGCAATAGAGCCATTGGCTGCTGAGGCTCCCTCATCCCGTTTTCATTCATTCCAGTCTCTTAGACTTTTCCTGGCTTGAGCGGGTGAGGCAGGCTAGACATTCCATCTGAGAGGACAACAGGGGTTCATGCTACTTAGACTCTCAGCTTGAGCTTCTTGTATTCAGCCCAGAAGCCACCCTTGGCTGAAGGAGCACTGGGTCCTCCAGGTCAGTACTCTGCATGCAAGGCCAGGTGTCCCTCGATGTGACCCCAGGATGATCCCACAGTGGCTCATTCACAGAGTGACATGAGCAGGTGAGCCAACAGCTAACAGAGAGCTGATCTTCATGCGGAGTCCCAACAGCCTTCCAAGAGACGGTGGGTCACCTGCTCATGACACCTTGTCGTGTGACCACTGTGACGCTGGAAACCAGCTTGCTTGTTCTGGATCCATGCCAGAGATGCTACACACATAATGATGCCAGAGGTCAGTCGGTCACATGAGAGAATGGGAGGTGGTCCACGTGCTGCCAGATTTCCTGTGGGTCAGACGTGACAGAGGTGGGACACGGGTCTGACAGAGGGCTTTATGGGTAACCTCCCAACAAGATCTATAAAGGTTCACATGCCTGGTATCCAGGGCTGACCTCCAAGCCACCCCTGGGTGGCAAGGAGGCAAGGAGGCAGGCACCCTTGGATAGGGGAGGCAACCTAGTCACATAAGAAGACCAGCCACATGTTGAGATAGAGGTGTCTCAGGGTCCAGATTGCTTGTAGGTAGACACTTGGTGGCTTGACCAGTGTGGGGCCAGGAAGAGCTCCTCCCCAAGTCCTTCCCCTTATCTTCCCTGAGTCCTTCCCATTATCCTCCCCAAGTCCTTCCCATTATCTTCCCCAACTTTAGGAACTAAGTCCTTAGCCCCAACAGTGGTCATTAGTTGTCTCTGGAGCTGTGGTGACCTACTGGGGCTCTAAGGCAAGTAGTCCTCACGCACGGCACTTCCTAGCAAAGCCTGGGGTAAAGACATAATTCAGCTGCCACCTACCCTCCCCTATCTGTCCTCTTGCCTAGACCATGGGAATCATAGGTTCAGGCAGGTAACAGACTCCTTTCTCAGTCGGTCCCCTGACTGCTTTGTAAGATGAGAGGCTCTGCTAAGAACAACAACAAAAAAAGAAGAAGACAGACATCCTGGCATTTAACTAAAAAAGGAAGGAAGGGAAACCCATCCCTCTGACATTAGAAAGTCGAATACATGAACTCGGCTGTGGGCCCACCCTTCCTGAGGACTGCATCCCAGGAGCTGCCGCCAGGAGCAGGAAGCCCCTGGCCATCTGGGTTCTCCAACTTGCAGTGAAACGTGTTATTCAGGTACTAACTCAGCTCCAGGCACGAGCCTGTCTAGACAACTCTGTGGGGGTAAGTCATGCTGCAGGAACGACCCCCACCCAGAATCAGTGCAGCTGGCTCGACCATGCTGTAAATCCAGAATTGGCAAGAAACGGGTAGAAGATAGGCCCTGAGAGGCACCTAGGGGCAGAACCGCAACCAGCCAGTTTCTATGAGCACAGGCCTGGCCCAAAACGGGTACCCGCATCTCCGGGAACACAACTGGACCAGCAAGAAGGATCCTGGGTACAAGTGGTTCAATTCAAAGCCAGTATCGGAACATGAAGGTTCAATTCTAAGAGAGACTGGTCGTTTTCAGGGCTCGTATTTTTAAAAAGTACATGACTGGAAGGTTGAATTACTTCCAGACTAAGCTGCTCTGTGTTCATGGCACTGGGTCCCCAGCCAGGTCCCAAGGCCAATGCAACTCTCCCATAAAGCAGCCTATAAGATCTGTAAAAACCCAGCCCCAACTTCCCAGCATGACATGAAAGACAGTCCCAAACACAGCTGCCCAGTAAATGCCAGAGAATGTAATTTACCTCCGCATAGGGGCAGGGACAGTGAGCGTGGGATGGACCTGGGCCAGCAATCCAGAAGCCAGTCAAAGAGTGGGGTGTGGTGGATGCTCTGGGGAGCCCTGCAGATTCTGGTGTTAGGACCAGTTTAAAATACCTCAGACCCGAACTGCCCTGACATCTTGCTGACCACCTCAGAGTCTTCCTGGAATTCAAATGGTCACCTGGGCAAGCTGAATGCAGGAGACTTAGCGTGCCCACAAGGAACATGAGCCTGACACCCAAGTTTCTATCTCTGGAGGAGCAGAGTGAACCAGGATTGGGATTTGGGAAGGAGACTATGCAGTCCCTACCGTGGACCAGCACCTCCCTGCTTTTCTACTCTGCCCTCTGCTCCTTCCTAACAATCTTAGACTGGGACTTCAGTGCCATTCAAGAATTACCATGCCACCGCCCTGGGGGAATGTAGCCTGTTTGGTTGGACAGATGGAGACAAAGACTTGGCAATTGCCATTCCAATAACACTATCTTACATCCAGGTCTGTCACCCTCAGAGCCAGACCCCAGCCTGATGTCACACAGGTCTGCACAAAGGGGAAGAAGGAACAGTGTTTTCTCCTGCATCTGCTGACCCTGGGTGGCAAGTCTCTGGCTCCTGTCCTGAGGACACTGTCACGGTCCCACATTTGACATATGTCCATCCCTGATGGAGGTGGCTGGGTTATATGCCACTCAAAGATGGAGGCCACTGATGACTGGATGGTTACTCAGAATTGCTGAGGACTGCTTGGAGACAGAGTGATCTGTCCCTCTGGCCAAGAAGTGATCTAAGAGTCATATTCTGTTGACCTTCTATGAGGGTCTGCATAACTACCTCCTCAACTGAGGTTATACACCACCCCTCACGGTATCCGCAGAAGCCCCACACATCTCAAGACTGCCTGTGTCATCTGCAGTTCTCATGTGGAGGTGAGGGCCTTGTAGGATGGGGCCTCTTGTTTCCCATTAGTCAGGAAATAGGACGGGTGCCACACAGAGGCCCAAGGCTCTGGTCTGCCTCCTGTGCCAGAGGGAAGCAGGAGAGTGATGCAATGTCTCCATGCTAGGCTGGGCAGGGGGCAGGTAAGGAGACTCGGCACAGTGTAGCCCACTGCCATGCTGTGGATGGCACACTGAAAACACTACATCACCAAAGCTGTAAGTTTATAATACGTGCTTTATTATGGAGAGCAAGCATGTGAAGGATTGATAACAATCCTTTGGGCCTGCTGTCAGGTACAAGGGATGCCCTCGTGAATAAGGCTGGCTCCTGCTGTAACTGGTCCCTCACACCCAGTACAACACAATGCTGTGCCTGTGTGGCTATGAGA